TTATAAGATGAAGTAATGAATTATATTGCAATTTTTAAAAGATGTCCAGCTTTAGAATCAGAACATGATTCAAATTCCACCTCTGACACATCTTATCTGTGTTACATTGGACAAGTTAATTAACCTCTTTGAGAACCACTTGCATGGTCTGTACAAACGATAAAAATTCCTGTCATTGGTTTGTGGCAAGATTTAAATAAGATAATTTTTGTAAAAGTACCTGGTATATCATAAGCATTAATAAATGGTTGCTGCTAGATTTGAACCCAATAATTCTCAAATTTAAATACTTAGAATCACCTGGGGAGCTTGATAAAATGAATACCCCTTAGAATTTTAAGCTTGTAATTCTGTCATGTAACTTCAGAATCTGTATTTTCAATAAGCTTACAATTCTGATATAGACTGCCTGGAAGCAACACTGAGAAATAGTGTTTATATTCTTGCTAAATGAAAAAATTGATATAGCATTTTAAGAATTATGCATTACCATCACACTTAGGATGTAGAATACTGGAAAGAACATCCCTCCCTTTCTAACAGCATGAAAAACTTGGACAATAGGCAAATTGACAAACCCAAAATCTAATGAAACTATAGCATCTACAAAGAGATGAACATGAGTACAGCAGGTCTTCAAATAATGTCACAGTTTCCAAGAATCTATTGACAAAGTTAAGAGGACTTATGGTACTTCAGGCAGGAGCCATTGAACCCAAATAAGAATACTTCAGCTAAATTTTTTTTATTATAAATTTTATTTTTATATTCCCCATACAATCACGACTCCCTTATTTTGACCCCAATCCCTCCCCTCCCCACCCCCCAACCCCCATAGAGTGTCTCTGGTTCATAGTTGTTTGTTGATTTTGATTTTTACTTTCTTATAGTTATTCTTTTTCCTGGTCCCTTATTTAAGTTTTCTAGATCCCTGCTATGAGTGAGACCATCCGGTATTTTTCTTTTTCTTTCTGGCTTATTTCACTGAGCATGATCCCTTCCAGTGCCATCCATGTTGCTGCAAATTGCATGTGTTTATCTTTTTTGAATGCTGAGTAATATTCCATGGTGTATATGTACCACATCTTCTTGATCCAGTCATCTATTTTTGGGCATTTGGGTTGTTTCCAAAGCTTAGCTATTGTAAACAGTGCTGCTATAAACATAGGGGTGCAGGTGCTCTTTGGAATTGATGTTTCTGTGTCCTTTGGGTAAATACCTAGGAGTGGAATTGCTGGAAGCTCTATGTTTAGTAGGTCCAGAAATCTCCACACAGCTCTCCATAGTGGTTGGACCAGTTTGCACTCCCTCCAGCAATGCAGGAGAGTTCCTTTTTCTCCACATCCTCGCCAACATTTGTTGTTGCTAGTTTTTTTAATATGTGCCATTCTCACTGGTGTAAGATGGTATCTCATGGTAGTTTTGATTTGCATTTCCCTGATTACAAGTGATGTTGAACATTTTTTCATATGCCTGTTGGCCATTTGCATTTCCTCTTCAGAGAAGTTTCTTTTTAGTTCTTCTGTCCATTTTTTGACTGGATTATTTTCTTTGTTTTTGTTGAGTCTCATCAGCTCTTTGTAGATTTTTGTGATCAGTACTTTATCATTTTTAACAAATTCTATGGTCTGTTTGGACTAGCAAGACACTATAGAACTCCTGGAACACAGGGAAGAATTTATACCCTCTCTGAGGCCCTTCTCTATAGGCCTCATTGTGTACACAAAGATTGGGAATGGGACAAGAGTCTTGGGGTAGCATTCTATGTGATACAGGTGTCATAGTGGGAAACACAGGAAGCTCCACCTAGATCCTTACCCCCAGCCCTCCTACAGCACAAAAGCCTTAGTGTTGATTGAAGGGCAAGAAACTCTGTCACACTTAAGGCACTAGTGAAAAAGTCATTGTAACTGGGGAAGGGATGTGGGGGTGGCAAATTCTCTAGCCATGGGAAGGAGTAGGAATATGTGCTGGACTCAGACCCACAACTAAAAGTAAAGGGTGAGCACGGAGAAGGCATCACTCCCAAGACCTGGAAGTACAGTTCCTGCCCACAACTGAAATTTAATCAGAACAATAAAGAATGCTTCTCTCTATTCCCCATTGCCATGCTAACAAGCATCAACTTACAAGTGATCAGAGTCTACTGCTGAAAGAGTTGCAAAAGCATGGGAAAACCCTCAATGAAATACAGCACAAAGTGAAGACCTAAAACTAAGGGTACAGTAGACATCAGGAAAAGAAACCTTCTAGCAAGCTAGCCCCCACCTTAAACAAACTCACTAGAGGAATCTGAAACCTGTTTTGTACTGAAAGTAACCATAGCAACAACAAGCCCCAAACTGGTTTAACTCCTGAGTAGGCTAAATTAGCATTTAACACCCACATTAAATGCTAAGAATAAGGAAAGGCATGCCCATTTCCAGGTGTAACAACTATTTAACCAGGTCTCTATCCCACACAAGATGTCTGCTTTCATCAAAAAATTACAAAGTGTACAAAGAAAAAACAAAAACATTGTCAAGAGGCAAATCAATCAACAAAAGGAGACACAGATATAATACAGTTATCAGAACTATCAAACAGGGAATTTAAAATAACTGTGATTATTATGTTAAAAGACTTTAGTGGAAAAGGTGGGAAATATGCATGATGAGATTGGCAATTTCCAGAGAGAAGAAAACTATAAGGAAAAATCAAATGGAAATTCTAGAAATGCAAAAGGCAGTTGCCCAGGTGAAGAATGATTCCAATAGGCTTATCAGTAGACTTACAAGGGTCAAAAAAAGAATAAGTGAATTTCGGCCAAGATAGGCTAAAGATATTACCCATACTAAAACCTAAAGGAGGGCCTCCCCGGTGGTGCAGAGGTTGAGCGCTGGGTTGCGAAGCTGCCCGCAGCCTGGGCAGCACAGGTCCGATCCCCGGCTGCTCCCCGGCCACCAGAGAAGGGTCCCACGTGGTGCACAGACCTCTCCTGCCACCCACTGCTCCCCTCAGCAGGGCACTTCGGTCCTTCTGCCTGCTCTGCTCCCTGCTCTGGCTCTGGTGAATTCTCTCGCCATCCCGCGCTTCTGTACCCAGTGCTTGTATAAATAAATAAATCTTTAAAAAATAATAAATAAATAAATAAATAAATAAATAAATAAAACCTAAAGGAAAAACAAAGCTTTAAAAAAAAGGAAACAAACAGAATAGAACACCCAAAAATTGTGAGCTAGATCAAACAGCCTAATTTGCATACCATTGGAAAACCAGGAGAAGAGAAAATAAGGCAGAAGAATATTTGAAGAAATAATGTGCTTAAAATTAACTTCATTTGTTCCATTTTCAGTGTTCTTCAATTCTTTTTGTCTAGAATCAAGATTCTGTCTGGTATTTTTGGTTTGGTTTGATTTTGCCTGAAGAACTTTCTTGAATATTTCTTATAGTTCTAGGTCTGATGGAAGTAAATTTTTTTTTGTTTATCTGGTAAGATAGATCTCCCTTTATATCTCCCTTCCCTTTATATCTCCCTTCCCTATATATCTCCCTTTATATATCCTTTACATCTCCCTCATTGCAGAAAGATGTTTTTTCTAGGTATGGAATTCTGTGTTGACTTTTTTCCCCCTTTCAGCACCTTCAGAAAGCTGTTCCTTTAGTCCTCTGGTTTGTATAGCTTCTGATAAAAAGTCTGCTGGAACTGTTATCCTCTAAATGCAATGTCTGTTTTCCTTAGTTACTTCAAGACTAGCCCTTCTTGGAGCTTTAAGCAGGTGGAATGATATGTGTAAGGGTGTGTTTGTGTTTCAGCATTTATCCTGCCTGGTGTTCTCTGAGCTTCTTGGACCTGTGATTAGGTGTCTTAAGTTTGGCTCTGTGTTTGGTCCAAAGGGGATGTAATTTTTCAGTTGAGAACTAAAGAATGAATAGGTCTTAGAAAAGAATAAAGAGGATTCTGAGCAGATGGAAAAAATAATATGATTAATGACATTAAAAATAAGGAGCTATCCTCACATTTTGGGCAAAATGAAAGACCATTATCGCTAAGTAAAAGGAATTAATGGGAAGGTGTTATGGATAAAGTTGAACAAATAGGAAGAGGGTGTATTTTGGAAGAATATGTTGCCCACATTAAAAATGTATTCCTTTTTATTTTTACTGTGATATAATTGACATAAAACATTGTGTAAATTTAAGTGTTCATTTGATACATTCACATATTGCAATATAACCACCACCTTAGTATGAGTTTACACCTCTATCACATCATTTCTTTTTTAATTATCATTTCTTTTTTGTGGTGGTAACAAGTAAAATTTAATCTCTAGTACTTTGAAGTTTAGAATGCAGTATTGTTCTCTGTACTCATTATTCTATGCATTAGATCTCCAGAATTTATCTAGTAGTTGCAAATTTGTATCCTTAACAACATATCCCCATGTACTTAGTGTTAGACATTGAAGGTTTTTAAGCATAGGAATGATATAATTGGATTTAATTTCTTAAATTCTTAATCCATCATGACCATCCTGCCTACTAAGCAGAGAGTATATTGTATATAATGTCTTCAGAGTAAAGGATTTACACATATCCTTAGAATCTTAAGCTATGGGCTTTTTTCTTCCATTTTTCTTTATCCAGTTCCTTCTATCACCTAATACATACCTCTTAATCTCCCTAGAAAACTTACCTATGTTGGGCTTCCCCGGTGGCGCAGCGGTTGAGCGCTGGCTTGCGAAGCTGCCCGCAGCCTCTGCAGTGCCGGTTCGATCCCCGGCTGCTCCCGGCCACCAGAGGAGGGTCCCACATGGTGCGCAGACCTCTCCTGCCGCCCGCTGCTCCCCTCAGCAGTGTACTTCGTCAGTCTGCCTGTTCTGCATCCTGCTCTGACTCTGGTGAATTCTCTCACCCTCCCGCGCTTCTGACTGTACCCAGTGCTTGTATGAATAAATAAATAAATAAATAAATAAATAAATAAATAAATCTTAAAAAAAAAAAGAAAAAAGAAAACTTACCTATGTTATAGTCTATTATTTAGGGTCTTGGCAAGTCAATATCCTCTTTTTTTCCATGCAGTTAAACTTTATTTCTCAGCCCACCTTGTCATGAGATGTAGCTATATGCCTGGGCTCTGGTCGACATGAGGGGGAAAAGAACTATTTTTATTGTTCTATATCATTAATATTTAGTAGTACTGATTATAGCATTTAATCGACCCTGATGAATATACCACATTGTAACTAATATACCTAGTTACAACTAAACTAATTTTTAGATGATTGGTGAATTCCTTGGATTGACATATTTTGTGAAAATATTTTTATATCACTGCTAGGGATTTCAGAAATAGGAATAGAATAGTAAAAGGTTATACATTTTCCAATTCACACAACATTGAGAGCCACATATTACTTTACCAATCTAGCTCTAGGGAGTCCCTAACAAAATTCCTGGGATTTATGCTCTTAATTAAGCATGGCATGTTACACAGAAAGTATCTTGCCTTTGAAATAGGAAGACCACTATTCCAGTTTCCGAGATGCTACTAGCCAGCCTTGTGGCTTCAGAAAGGTTTCTTAGCATATGGTGTCCATTTTTATCTGTAAAAGGAAAGATACTACCAGTACTCCAGCACAGATATGTGGCCATATCTGTAAAACACATTGCTGTTATTTCAACAATTCTTTTCCCTTCCCTGTATGGGCACCCTTTTTCAGAAGACTTTGCAAATCCCCCAACAAAAGGAGTGGAGTTTGTTTCCCCACACCTTGATGCTGCATTCAGCCATGTGGCTCTTGTGTTTCTTCAGTCACCCTTGCCATAGATATGAATGTGCCTGCAGTAGCTTGATGGGAGAGAGAAGATGTGGGTCAGGGCTGAGTAGTCCAACTGAGTCCATCCTAGATCAAGGTCAGCTGCAAGTCGAACCAAGATCCATATGGCCACAAGCAAAAACACATTGTGCACAACCAAGACATCATGGATACTTGTTACTTCATTGCCGGCATCACCGTGGAAACTGATAACAGAGCGTCTGTGAGACTTGGCTCTCACAATCTGTAAAGTACTATATAAATGTAAACTAGTAAAGCTCAGAAGTATTTTTACTTTTACATATTCATAGTTTATATATAAATTTTATATATATTATATTTATTTTACATATTTATATTTTAAATATATAAACATATAGTTATTTGTATTTATGTACATCAAGAAAATTATATCTAATTATAAGTCTAGATAAAAATTATATATGTATGGACTTCCTGGTGGCACAAGGGGTTAAGACTCAACCTATGAAGCTATCAGCAGCCACTGTAGCACGAGTTCGATTCCCCCACCAGGGAGCTAACCCACATGGCGCAGCAGACCTCTTCTGTTTCGTCCCCTGCTCCCCTCAGCAGTGTGTTTCAGTCAGTCTTCCTGTTTCGTTCCCCACTCTGTCTCTAATGAATCCACTCACCCCCCACACCTCTGGCCTGTACCTCAGCTCTTTTATGCATAAATAAATAAATCTTTTTAAAAATAATACATATATATGTATAGCCAGGAAATTACTTATAATGTAAATATATATTATTTTTATATGTCATTATACCAAGGAAATTTGTGTGTGTGTGTGTGTGTGTGTGTGTGTGTATCTCGAAGGACTGACTCCCTTGATCCATGAGCTAGTAGAACCTGTGAAAAAAATCTAAGTCCTGATTCAGAGGATTATGGTATCAAAGTATGAGTTGGACAGAACCAGAATCAGTCTAATCTACCCCGACACCTGTGTATGAAACCTGTTGTTTTCTCCAACACAGTCTCTTATATGTGTATCCACAGACTTGTTCCCTCCAGCACCAACATGCTTTAACAGTTATAAAAACTCCACCCTTATAGCTTGTCATCTTTCTAGCAATCCCTGTGTGGATGACCGAAGGGGTGGGGTCCAGTTCCATCCTTCTCAACTGGCTACTAATCTGTGTTGGTATCTGTCAGCGATGCTTTCATCGTGCTGTGATTTATAATTTTGCCAGATGTCTTCAACATGCAGCCACTTCACAAACTAAAAGCTGCTAATGCTGTATCATTTATCACATTTTCCTACATACTGCATTCAGACCCAGCTTAATGCACACAAGGACACACTCTGAATATAGGAGGGCTGGGCTACAAAAGCTCATATAGTAAGCATCCTCCTGTATTTCCAAAGGAATGGAAAGCCACAAGAATAAATTGGAAGAGAAACCAAGCAAGCTGTTTTTTATTTGCTAAAGGAAGGAAGAAATTATTTAGCCCGCTTCAGGGCTGTTTCAGGCACCTCTCACATTATTATCGCTGAACAAATGCTTATTATTCTTCCTAACAATGAGGTAACCCAAGATGGACCATTTCTTCCTTAAAAGGAATAAGGAGTATTTCCAAGTCCCATGTCTACGTCCTAAATGGTATCTTCACCTTAGCAGCTGAAGAATCTTTTCTTCTCTAACCTAGAAGAAGGCAGGAGGCTGAGTACCTGTCTAGATAAATGACAAATCAGACATGACATACATACAGACCCATTACTTCTGTCATATTTCTCCTCTTAACTTTTCTCAGCAATTAAGGTTTCCATGAGCCTCCCACTCCTTTTCAAATCCTGCTCGTGAGGCAGTTGTAATTAAATCCCCTTGATTTCCCAATGCTGTCTTTATAAAATAACTTTATCTTAGAAAAGTTTCTTTTCTAAATTTCATCCAACACCCTTTACTGATTCAGTCTGTGATGGTCAATAAAATCTTTTCCTCCATTTCTTCTGTGTCTACATTCAGGCCAAGCATGCCTCCTCCAGGAAGTCTTCCCTAACCAACTAATCCAGCTTCATTTTGTTGTCCTTTTTTCTCTGAGTTCCCATAGTCCCCTACACATGCCTCTATCATAATATTTACCATGTTGTCTAATAGTTCATCAGGGTCCTATTGTCACCCACACTTAGCCTACACAAAGAGGAGAGGGTCATGCCTCTGTTGACTTTGCATCCATGGAACCAGTTTTGCCAGTAGAAATCTGAAAAAACACTGGCCAGTTACCTATACATTCTCACAGTAATTACCTGTTCCCCTTGAGAGTACTCTCAATGTGCTAAGCCTAAATCCTGCTAAATCACTGTTAGCATCACAAAGATAATAACATACCCTGATTTATCTGGAGATGAGCTTCAAGGAATCTTGTGAAATTTCAAGTTATCTAAAAATCTCTGAGTACTTGGTATGGAGCCAGATTTCTACTAAGCACTGTGGTAGGAGAATAGAGGAAGGTAATAAGAAAATACAAACCTAGGGCTTGGGCAAATAGAAATGTTTTACCTAGCTAGAGATTAAAATATATGTATATAAAACACAAATACACTCTACATCAGATCTGAATGCCAAATAAGTCACATAGATAATAACTAGAGAAAAAAATTCCAATAGGACAAGATTTCTGGAAAAGTTGGATAACTGGAAGGGTTTTCCAGACAGCTTTCCAAAGGAACTAGAATTGGATCTTGCAGAAGAGAGCAGGATCTCAGCAAAGGAAGGGGATGTAGCAGATGTAGCACTTGCAAGGAATGGCATAAACAAAGGCAGGGAGACAGGATCTGTAAGTCTTTTAGATGCAGAAAATAATGAGTACACTAGGCTAGGATGAAAGCCCTGTGATGAGGAATAATGGGAAATTATGTTCCAAAGCCAGACCAAATTATCTTCGTTTTTTTCCCCAATAAAAAGAACCTTCCAAGTCACTTACTTTTAAGAGGCCCCATCAGATCTGTGTCCTCTACGGGAAATGAGCACTCAGCTGGGAATGTACGCATTACCATAACTCAACCACCACCAATTACTCCTCAGGAGCACCACATTAACTCTTGGTGAACCAAAGGTTATTATTGCCCTAGTCTGTGCCTTATCTAGTTCAATCTGTAACAGGGTGGTCCCAAGGAAAGGGGGAGGTTCCCTGCCCCACCCAAGGAAAGGGGGAGGTTCCCTGCCCCACCCAAGCGAGGGTGGAGCCGGGAACCTCCCCCTTTCCTTGGGACCACCCTGTTACAAATCAACCAGTATAAACTGAACACCCACTGTGAGCCACAACTTGTACTGAACTCCATAAATCACTCAAAAATAAAGGTGATAGAATTCCTAATTTCAAAGAATGTATGTCTTATTTTTCTTTTTCCACCCTTCTCTCTCTTCTGACACAGCCTTTCTCAGTCACCAGCTGGGGCCATCTGCAGAATACTGGGTAGTAGGTGAGAAGACTGAGGCCAGTTCCCTAGGAGCTGACCACTGGGGCCAAGGTCTCTCTTGATAGGGGATCTGAGTGCACATAATCATATAGACATAGAAAAAAAGGCAGAAAATGCACCAAAATGTTAGTAGTGGCATGGAATTATATATTATTTTACTGTCTTCTTTATATTGTTCTTTATTTTTCATATTTTTGTAAAAAGGCATAATGGTCAGAAAAAGGTTTTATACTCAAAACAACCCTTTTTATTTTAAAATGAAAATTGTTGAAGATTTCTGCTTTCCTTACTCATCCTCATCACCAGATGAGAGTGCTAGTTTCAATGTCCTCACAGTTTTCTTAGAGACATTTGTGTTAGGACATTATTTTTGGAACAAGGCAATGTTCTCAGTTACACAGGTGCACCAGAGTACTGTCTTCAGTTTGCTTTCTGAGACCTCTGCTTCCTTCAAGGTTTATGAGGAAGGTTCTAGTTTCTCTCTTGAAACAACTGCTTTAGAAAGAAGGAAAAGAACTGTGGTGGGGGCAGAGGGGACTCACAGTTACTATCTGCCACACATAGAGCACAGCATCTCATCATCTGTGATAAGTGATATCACCACCACTCTACAAAATAATAAGTCTTGAAGTCAAGTCCATTGCCACACATCTTGTAAGAGCTAGAGACCAGAATTCACCCCAAGTCTGCTTGGTCCTGATTCCTCACTTATTTATCTACAGCTCACTGACTTTAATGAGGATCTGTCCATATCCTGCAGCTCAGCAAATTTGCAGGAATTAATCACTGGGAATGCTTTGGATGTGATGTGGAGTCTGCCAAGAGTGAGCAGAGAGGACAGAGACTGTGTTTAACACTGAGAGTATCCCAGGGCCCACTGACTTGGGACATGTTTGGGGTTTTTGCCCATAGAAAGAGTAGTTGGACTAGAGGTTTCCAAAGGGCTTTTCTGCTCTTAATCCCTGCTCCCTCCATATTCACCCATGTGGATGCTCTCAATGCTAGTACTATCAACTACTCCTGCAACAGATCAACTACTGCTTCCAGGGAAACAGAGTCCTCAAAATAGTTCTCTGTGCTCGCCTCTCCCAGAATATGGATAAAGTCGACCACATTCATTGGAGTACTGTTCACCAGCAAAAGACCAGTGGGTAGAGGACTAGTTAAATAAGTTATGGCATAGCCATAGAATGAAAAGCAGGACAAACATGAAAAACAATAGGGGGATTTCTAATTCCATACTTTCTATTCTGGGCTTCTGCAATGCCATGTGGTTATACTTCCCTTCTCCCTGGCTGTCCCATCTCAGTCTCTTTTGCTGGCCCTTCTTTCTCATCTCAACCTCCAAATGCAGGGTCCAGGATTCAGTCCTGGTCTTCTACCTATATTTATTTAATCCCTGAATCTTTGTTCAAGGTTTAAAATGCCTGATGACACCCAAACTTGTCTCCGACCCTAGCCTAAGCAGTGCCCCCTCCCCACCACCAATACCCCCCAGATTCAGACATCCTGGTGAGACATGAGCTAGGCATTCTGAGTTGAACTCACCTAAGCAGAGAAAGGCAATCACACAATGCTAACCTCTCCTTCCCCAACACCCCCCGCCCCAACTGCAGTAAATGAAAAGCATTCATCTAGTCACTCAGGTCAAAAACCCTGGAAACCCACATCCCACATTCTGTAGATTCTACTCCCAAAACATAAGTTATCTATTACTATCTTCGAACATGTCATCTGTCATCTGCTTCCTAAGAGGGCAGTAGCCACCTGGTCTCCCTCAATTTCACTCTTGCCCCTTGACAGTCTTCACCACTCAGCAGCCAGAAGGATCTTTTTAAAACAGGACCCAGTGATTTTATATGTCACTTAGAATAAAAGCCAAACTCCTCACCACGGCCCCAGGGTCTAATGGGCTCTCTCCTGTGCCTGTCTCTGCCACCACACCTGGCCTCATTCTGCCCCAGCCACATTGGTTTCCTTCCAGATCCTTCAACCTGCCATGCAAAACCCCACCCCAGGCCCATGTAATGGTCATTTACAGGATGCCACTGGCAACATGAAGGAAGTGGTTCTTTTCTGCCTCTAACTTTGACCCTTTTGTTAAACAAAGGGGTAGCAACAAACCCTAGATTTAACATCAAACTACTGCTGTCAAGTATGTAAAGAAAGTCTTCATTCAGGACATCATGAACTTTCATATGGGACCCCATGGGAAAGATAAGGGCCAGATCATTCATTCCCTTAAAAATCTTTACAGCATCTTAACGCATATACTAATAGATAATATAATGCCATAAACTTAATTTCCTTCAACAAGAATGATTCAGGGCCGATGATGACCTAGGCATCATTTGAACATACAAATAAATAGGACTGGGTGCTTGGTTCCCAAGGAGCTCAGTCCGGGGGGAGAGGGGAAAAATGTATTATTCTGGTACATTATAATGGAATAGTCATAAAACTACAAATCCCAGAAAGCCTAGGGTAATTCTGTCTGTAGGAATCCAAAAAAGGCTGGCATTTCGATGGGATGCAGAATTTGGACTGGGTCTTAAAAGGTGAGCAGGTACTTAAGTCAACAGAAAATGAAAAAAATACCAAAGAATAAATGATGTAGACGTGTCCACAGGACCCAGCAAGCACCTTTGTGGCTAGGTGAGAGCAAACGAGTGTGGGAAGGTGGGAAAGGTCAGATCCCAAAAGATCTAAATAGCAGATGTGGAGAAGATCAAACATTATCTGTACACAGGACAATGGTGCACAATGAAATGTTTCTGAGAAGAGAAAGGAGACAAAGTATTCCTGACAAATGCAGATTGAGCTGGAGGCCTTGTGGTCTACAGATTAATAGGTATCTGGGTCTGGGTAGATTTGATGGCCCTGAATATTTAATTAAATGAATTTCCTAAACATGAAAAGTCTGATAACATTTTAATGTATCTCTCTCTCTCTCTCTCTCTCTCTCTCTCTCTCTCTCTCTCTCTCTCGCTTTCTCTATGGCAACTAATCTTAATTATCTCAGAACTCTGAGTGCAGGAAGATATCTCACCTGTTTATCTTCAGAGGGAACAAGTCAAGGGTTTACTCTGACTATTAAATGTGCATTTTTATAGGTTTGGGGTTTAATTAAATAGCACTGAAATCCATATGCAGGTTATTGAAAGTGTAAGTACCCAGAACGATAAGGAAAAATATATAAAAGTTGCCATGTTGAAGAATTGTTATTAAAAGAACAGAAATTCCTGTTAAAAACAAGCTCAAAAAAATTAATAAACAGTTTATTGTACCCTGGCATCTTAGTCCACTGAGTTACTATAACACACCACACCACAGTGGGTGTCTTATAAACAATAGCAATTCATTTCTCCAATTCATTCCAGACAATTCCAGCATCTGGAAGTCCAAGACAGGGCACCAGCAAGGTTGGATGAGGGTCTTCTTCCAGCTCTCAAACTTCTTACATCCTCACATCCTCACATGACAGAAGGGGCAAAGGGTCTTTCTGGAGCTTCTTAATTAATATGTTATAAACATATTAATCCCATTCATGGGGCTTCACCTTTATTGCCCCCCAAAAGCCTCACTTTCTAATACCATCTCATAGGATTTAACATGACTTTGGGTGGGGGGTCCATAAACATTCAGATTGCAATACCTGTGGGTTCCATTTGCTACAAATAAATTCATGCCCTGTGGGTTCTTGACACATCATTTCCCTCTACAAAGAAAGGCTGTGGAGGAAATAGGATCCAGTGACTCCCTTGGCATGCCCAGACCTGCCCCAAACTACCAGCCCTCCTCATCACCCTCCACATACATGGGCACACTCCCACCACCCAACTCAACCACTGCGGTATAGCTGACTCCAAATAAAAAGTTATCCCCAAAGCACAATAAATTGGGATAAACACTTATGACAGGAGCACAGGCAGTCTCAGGAGAACCCAACAGGAGCATCCCCTACATCTTAAAGGTCGGCCAGTGCAGTTGGTCCTCTATCTATCCAGGAGCCAAGGGCACCTGGGAGGCGCCCAGCTCTGGCCCTGAAGAAGCAGCCTTCCTAGGAAAGCTATAGGAAATCAGAAATGGCCCCTTTCCTTAAGGGTCCTCCATCCTTTTGGTTTTCACTGTAATTCTGTAACTGCCTAAGTGGTTCAGAGGAAGAAACAGAGATTCAAAGGTGTTACTTCATTTCCAGAAGAAGAAACTCACACAAGGGGGAATTGCAGGGGGATGTGACAACAAGACCAAAGTGGGAGGTGAGCACTGAGTCACTGACTCTGAGCACCAATTCAGGGGAACTCACATCATAAAAGAAGCCTCTAGGGCCTCCCCTGGTGGCACAGCGGTTGAGTGCTGGGCTGCGAAGCTGCCCACAGCCTCTGCAGCACCAGTTTGATCCCCAGCCACCGGCAAGGGTCCCACATGGCGCAACAGACCTCTCCTGCCGCGCCCGCTGCTCCCCTCAGCAGTGTACTTCGGTCCTTCTGCCTATTCTGCTCCCCGCTCTGGTTCTGGTGAATTCTCTCACCCTCCCGCGCTTCTGACTGTACCCAGTGCTTGTATAAATAAATAAATAAATCTTTAAAAAAAAAAAAAAAAAGAAGAAGCCTCTAGTCTGAAGATCCCAAGTGAGGGGCAGAGAACTGCCCAGGCAGGAAGACACACAGACCATTACGTTCCCGCAAAGGCCATCTTAGCACAAACAACCAAAAAAAAAGAAAAAAGAAAAAATAAATAAAGAAAAGAACTGATGATTTTGCAGCTTATGGTATAACTTAATTTAGGAGGTATATGTATAGTGGCAGAACATACAGCTTCTGAGACACAAAGACCTGGGTTCAAATCCCAGCTCCACCCATTGGTAACAGTGAGCAAGCCACTTAACCTTGCTGAGAGTTCAAAATTCTATCTCAAGGGTATGTTGTGAGAATTACATAAGCAATAATGTATATAAAGTACTTCATACCAGGCACCCTGAGAATCAGAAATGAGCCACAACACATCAAACTTAAAAGTCCCCAAATGAAAGCATTCTCGTTCTCCCAAAACTGATCCTTCTGCACCTGGATTCCCTTTCTGCATTATTTCCACCCACTCACCAACATCAAGAGCCTTTCTCAATTCCATTGCTCATGGAACCACCTGCTCCCCTCCTCTACCACCTTCCCCATCTCAGCTAACACCTTGAGTGCATTTCTAATGTTCAAAGAGGCTAAGCTAACTAAGCGCTTCAGATAATTTTTAATCCGGCAGAGAAGGTCCATCTTTAGTCAGACAGGTGGGTCCAATCATCGTGTCCATTTTGCATTTGAGGACATTAGACTTCGTAGACATTGTGATGCTAAGGCACATAGGCTCAAACTTTTCACTGTATTGCCTTCAACCAAACTGTCACTGAGCCTTATGGATTCTCCTTTCTGGTTGCAACCAAGCACAGGGACAATGTGTGGCGTAGCAATGGTGGTGAGGGCACCGTGAGGAGACTGGCTGCCAGCTGATGGGCAATTTGGCCATTGAGGAGCCTCTGAGTCTAAGAAAGGGTGTCCCGGAGCTGGGAGGACTGGCAGAAGGCAGTAAGGAAATGAGTACTTCAGTCTAGGTGTGAGGTACAGGGGCCTAAAGGGGGTGGGGGTGGGGGGAGGAGGGATGAAAAGAAAGGCTGAGCCGACAGACATTACCTCACCAGGCACAAACACTCCCGAGGCTGGAACTTGGTTTAATAATTCTGTTACTAGGGCAACAGTGAAAGAATCTCTTAGAAAGAACCCAGCGTGGCCTGTTTCTGCACAGACACATGGCAGTTGTAAGCTGGGAAGACAGGGGTGAAGGGGAGCAGCCAAGAGACACCGCAGGACATACATACCAGGGTTTATCATATACGCACTCTTCTGACATTTCACTCTGCACAGTGTTGGGAGCGGAAGCAAGCCCTCCAGGGAGGAAGATGGCAAGGTCCATGAAGCAGAGGCTATATAAGTCCAAGGACAGATTAGCCATTCTGCCTCTGATACTTAGACTAAGGACAGCAGGAAAGGATGGAGGTGCCTTAACCCCTCTAACTGCCCTCACAGGGGCACTCATGGAGGAGAGTTCAGATGAGAGCATGCCTGACAATGGAAGCAACAGCACCTGTCACAAAGCGATCTGCTTTCCTCCATCTTGGAATCATGGGCACTTATTCTGTCTGTGCAGGAAGTGGATGCCCACCCAAAGCATGGGGTTAGCATACCCTGATGGGAAATACCCAGGTTCCCTGCAGGCCCAGGGGCTTTCTTTCTGTGAGCACTTGGGTTCTCCCTCCCCTACCCCACCCCAGACTTTCCTTTTGTCTTTTTGGGACTCTCGTGATAGGACAGCTATTTATCTGACAGCCAGAACTTCCAAAAAGTTGTCAGCCTTTTAAAGACACTAGGAAAATTTTGAGACTTGAAGACATGCTCGTCAGTCTCACTCTGGATGAATGTCATCCTTTTTACTTTCCAAATCAAAAACCAAGTTGACCCCTCTAGGTGACATCAGGTAGAGAAACCTCTAACACCTGCCTGGAGCACTTGTGCTTCTACAAGACATATTTTCTTTAAAATCTATGCACAAGGAACACTGCAGAGGACTCACTTTCCTTCAGTCCTCTGACCTCTCCTGAGGCTAAGTGAGGTAGAATCTCTCCTTCACCCACCACACTCCCCACCCCACCCCAACCAACCTCTAATGTTTTCACTGCATTAAAATTGTACTATCAAATATTGCTCTGGGTAGTAGGTCATCGGGTAGGTGGCCACACTTAATGGTGGATCCATTTCCAGTAGCTTGGTTTTACCCTCTCAGGGGCTTTGATAATTAGTCAGTGCTGGATGGTTTGCCCAAGGGATACAGCATGTCCCAGATTATCCTGGAAGGAACTGCTCCTTACAAGTGTGACTGCATAAGGGATTTGTTCACCTCAAGCACTGGTAAGTCAACCTTCTCTGTTTTATCACTCATTTTTTGAGGGATCTTAGGCAAGTTGTTTTCTCCCTTAGCTTCCCTGCCTGAAAAAGGAAGAAAATTATTTAAAAACAACCTGAAAGGTTAATACAAGAATTGAAAGCTAAAAAATGTCATAAATGTTTTGAAACATTTGAATCCCAAAGTATAAACGGACCCATAACAACAATGCTTTTTTTGGGGGGAGGGGAGTTACATTTATTTTGGGGGGGCTCTACATTTATCTTTTTTTTTTTAAAGATTTATTTATTTATTTATACAAGCACTGGGTACAGTCAGAAGCGCGGGAGGGTGAGAGCAGGGAGCAGAACAGGCAGAAGGACCGAGGTACACTGCTGAGGGGAGCAGCGGGCAGCAGGAGAGGTCTGCGCGCCATGTGGGACCCTCCTCCGGTGGCCGGGGAGCAGCTGGGGATTGAACCGGTGCTGCAGAGGCTGCAGGCAGCTTCGCAAGCCAGCGCTCAACCGCTGCGCCACTGGGGAGGCCCTCTACATTTATCTTTAAAGAATTATTTCTGTTAAAGTAAAAATGGGTCACAAATTGCTGTTGTTAGATTTAGGTACCATTCAATTGCTCTTGTTTTATTAACTAGTCCTCGATCATGAGGTTTTATACCTGTGATAAGCATGTTTTAGGTTTTGCGAACAACATAGTCAACATCTGAGCTGTGAGCTGAATGAGGTCTTGGGGCACAAGGCTGTAGTTCATGTTGATGACAGTAATGTAAGTCTGCTGCATAAGCAGGATGCACCCAAGACACTGATGCCTCGTAATAAGTCAGGAAAAGAGAACCAGGACTCCAGTTTAAGGGTGGGGACGCAACTGAGAATTCATAACTACCTCAAAGATGTGAAGAAAACCACAAAGACATGGGCAACAGTGCTTTGATCTGCTCTGAAGTCAAGGCACCCTGTGGTGGTAGGAGGGGGCAATTTAAAAGCCATAGTGAAGCATCTGTACCTGATATGGTGGGACAGGTAGTACTGAAAGGCTTACGCTCAGGAGCAAAACTTCCTGGACCAAAAGCTGGCTCCATCACTCACTCACCAGCTCTGGGACCTGGGATAAGAGCTACCATTTCTTTATTTGTAAGACAGGGTCATGCAACATTGACTCACTGGGTTTCAGAGAGGATCATGGGTGAATAGTTATGGTATTTCAGCAAATCACATGCCATCTTTATGCCAACCGTGAAAAAGCAGTATTTGTCATCCCTATTTTATCAGAGGAAGTTAATGTCCACAGAAGCCAAGGCACTCATTAGGGTTCTTCTCATTTCAAGGCTCACACCAGACCAACAATTGTCTCTCCCCACATTGAAATCTATAAGGTGTCCACAAAGAGGGCCCATGTTCTCCTCCCAAATCAATGAGCTCAGTCACAATGTGAGTTGGCACAACAACTACTACACAGAAGCCTAGCCACAGGGAATAGTGCCTAAATTTCTTAAAACCTAAAAACATAATCAACTCCTCCCCCATAACAGTATGCAATTTCCAAACTTTGCCTCAGATTCCTCTGGATAATGAATGCTGTGAAATTGTATGACATGGATGAAGCCTGAAAACAAAGGTGTCTCTAGGGAACATGGCAATGGCAGTGATTTCCTCTGGCCTGCACTCAGTGTGGGTTCAATCTCCTGAGCAGGCAGCCTGAAGGCAAAAGAGAAATATAGTTCACCCTAGCTGGCACTGAAAACAAACCCAAGGGGCGTGTGTGTGTGTGTGTGTGTGTGTGTGTGTGTGCGCAGAGACCCCAGTCCTCTTTTTCTCTTCCAGGATGACCTCTTTGTTCACTTTCATCTGCTTTCCACGGGACTTGCCCAAGCCCCATACCTGCTGGGATGACCTTGCTGAGAAGGGCTCAGGTGGTGTCAAAATTCTCCAGTGAATTGGATACCATGGGCAGCTCCTAAACGACAGTCCTTGAGATGCTGACATTCCTCAGTACTGAGCCCACCAAACTCCCTACTCAGGAAGCAAAACAAAGTACTGGCTTGTGAGCTAACCCCATATATGAGCAAACACATTAGCAATGTGAACTTAATAAAACGGCATGTGCATTTCTTTCTGCTCTTTTGCTCCCCAGTAAATACAACCGTGTGCCCAAATTACCTTTCCTTTAGCACTCACGGCCTGCATCTGGCTGGAGTATTTACTGGTGAGCATTTATGGGCTACGTGCACTGCGCCAAGCCCTTTGCACCTGCTTGAATCTCTATCTCTCTTGCTTTGGCCTTGGAGCTTTAAACTTTTGTCCCCTCCTGCACAGACTGGGTCCTGAAGGGACTTTAAATTTGGGAGGACACTTAGAGAACATCCTGTCTTGTTTTACAAAAAGGAAGTCCAGGCCCTAGGAGGTCACAGAGCCATACTGCTTCATCATGAGAGATTGAGTGTCTGTTTGTGTCTACTTGGCTCTGTCTCACCTTGCTTTCTCTTTTATGAAAAGGCTGTGCCCACCTGTCTTTGCATCACAAGAGCACGGTGTGACAATACACTGGCACCTGACAGGGCTCATTAAGCTGGGAAGGCAGTGTCTCTCTTAGAGACAATAAAAATAGGGGCTGGCACAAGACCCAGGTAGTGAGATTATACTGACAGCAGAGGTTTTCCGTGTGCTCACCCAATACCCACCTGTGCTACTGGAAGGATGGGCACACCTGAGGGGCAGAGGTAGGCTGATAAAACAGCACCACACACCAAAGGCAAGGCAGCTGCAGCTAAGGTTGCATAAGTAGTTCCCTGGGAAGAGCAAATTCCATTTTTACAGTCCTCTGTCAAGTGGGGCTCCTTGGCATGAGTATAAGGGGATTCCTCTCAGCTGATTTACCTCCCCTGCTGGCTTGCTGGGAGGGACTTGCAACCTTTCCATTATGAAGGACTGTGGATGTCCCAAGGAGAATTGGAAATTACCTAGAATAATTAATTAGATTTAATTAGGTATAATTAATGCCCTCAATATGCAGATGAGAAAATTAAGACACATTAAGCAACTCCACAAAGGGCAGACAGCCTAGTCTAGGATTTCCCAGAGCAGGAAGCCTGATATATACAAGATCCTTGAAAACAAATTTGTGTACAATTCTGAGACAAGATAATTTGGGAAGGACTGGATTCTCTGTTCTCCTATGTCTCTGCTTAACAAATATTAACTGGGTCTCAGAATGCAGAACATTTAGGGATCTCACCTGGCAAAGCTGAAACTTGCCCTTGGGTATTCAGACTTCAGGACCAAAAGATACACAGCTACCTGGAGCAAAAGGACTAGTCCTTAAGGTTAACAATTCATGATGCCTTGTTAAAACAGTAGTATTCCGGAGAGACCGCTGACTGGGTGAGTCAATAACCTTTAGTGTGTTTTATTTATCTAAGACTTTTCTACGTAAGAGCACTTATAATCATATGGCCAAACAGGTAAACCTGAGCCTGAGGCTACTGTATGCAGAAAGAGATTCTACATAAGGAGGCTGGAAATCAAATGAAGACCCTACCTCCCTGAGAAAGAATCATAAGAGAGAGAAAGGTGTAAAAAGAAAAGGTGGAAAGTTACCAGACTTGGCAGGTCATCAGCAATCATCTCTCACCAAAAGGAAACAGATGGCAGAGACTAAGTAAAGCGTCCCCGCCAGACCCTACCATCAAATCGTGCCCTCACCCCGGTCTCAGAGGAAACAATCACTTTGGAAATCAGTTCTTCTCCACAGACTTAATGTACCAAAGTCCTCTCCTGGTCAATCATGTAAGATCTAGCAAGGAGCTTTTTTTAATTATAAGGAAAGGCTGGCTCCACATCAGTAAAGTCCTGCTTCAATTAGTATAACTATTGTTTGCATCATTATTCTAAGTGTTTGAAATTTCCACTTACATCAGGTCACTTCCAATTTGGTAAACACTCCTAAGTCATCATATTAATTCACAGCCAGTCACCCCAGGAATGCTGAGTAAGTAAACAATCAAGCATTAGCTAACCAGCCACAAATCCACTTGAGTTTATTAATTTTTCTTTTGGCAGAGAGACAAGAGAAGGGAACAAACCATCAGAGACATTCACGCATCATTCATTCAATAAATATTTATTATATACCAGGTGCCGGGCACCATGCTAAGCTAAATACAGATTTTATTATTTTATATTCACAGTTAAGTGATATATGAATGTTTTAAAGAATGAAATCCAAATTTCCCCAAAAAATATAAATTTCAGGGCCTCCCCCGGTGGCGCAGTAGTTGAGTGCTGGGCTGCGAAGCTGCCCGCAGCCTCTGCAGCGCTGGTTCGATCCCCGGCCACCGGCGAGGGTCCCACATGGCATGCAGACCTTTCCTGCCACACCCACTGCTCCCCTCAGCAGTGTATTTTGTTAGTCTGCCTGTTCTGTTCCCTGCTCTGGCTCTGGTGAATTCTCTCACCCTCCTGCGCTTCTGACTGTACCCAGTGTTTGTATAGATAGATAGATAGATAGATAGATAGATAGATAGATAGATAGATAGATAGATAGATAGATAGATAGATAGACAGATAGATAGATCTTTTAATATATATATATATATATATATAAATTTCAATTCTTGAGATGCTTTTACTTTGTTTCTGTCCAGTGATCTTCTTGTATACAGTGGATGCTATACCCCAACTCCTAAGCTTCCAGACTCTCCCCATTCCTCCCTCCAAAATCACCCCCCCCATCATCCCTCAAGTAGTTAACAAATACAAACTCACACTAGAACCACTAAGAGGCACTCACTATTTTAAAAGTCTTGGGAAAATATAAGCGGGAAGAAATTTATATCCTCGTGCTGAGCTATTATACATTTGGGCTTTGTTGTAGGGGGAGTAGCTTATCTCCTTCAAAAACTCTTAAAATACTAGCACAAATATACATTCCAAATGCTGACAGGGTTGTATGCAAAGTAGGAATACAATCTTAACAGCACCAACTTATCAGAGGAATTCCCCTTGCCCCATTTCAAAGCCCCCCCTTTCCCATATTTTTCAGAGGACAACAAAATAAATGGAACCATTTCAAATACAACACCCAAGGGAAACACCCACTCTGAGAAGTGACCTCCAAAAAACCACCTTTCTCATCAGTAGAGAGAGGCAGATTAGAGACTTCTAGCTCCCCCTCTGACCTACAGATTAGGGAACCCCAGCTAACCTAATCCTCTGCAATACCTCCATGGGAGCCATACACACACACACACACACACACACACACAACACGACCCATGCAGGCCCCACACACGTAGGCTGCAGGTCCCCACACCCCCGGAGTTGGCCAGCTTACCGAGTACACAAAATACCCCCACACCACCCAGGAGAGGTAAGGACTCTCCCTCCCTCAGCCAGGCAGTCTCCTGACGCTGCTGACATCACAAAGGTGTCAACTGGCAACTTCATTGTCATGTGGCTCTCCCCTGGCTCCCCTTCACTTGCAGACACAGGGAAAGGGTGAGACCTTTCAAAGTCGCCAGGCCGGCAAGCTTCCAGCGACTGTCTGGGAGCCAGCAAACGGCAGTCACCCAGCCCAGCCCGGCAGGCGGCAGGCACTGGGCCTTGCGGCTCAACTTCAGCTCAGTTCAGTTGTCCTGTAATGGAAAATTGCTTTGCACAAAGCTAGAGTGTTAGAGTTCTTTCCAGTGCCTCTCCCCTGCCCCACCCGCCCCCGGCAGCCTTCTCATCAGAGGCACAGCGCCTGCCCGCAGGAAAGTAGAAGGAGGGGAGTCGCGGCTTCTGACTATGTCCTCTGCTTCAGGCCCAGGGCCCAGGTGGTTACTCTTTTCCTTTGGAATGGGACTGGTGTCGGGGTCAAAGTGCCCAACTAACTGTCAGTGTCAAGCCCAAGAAGTGAACTGCACGGGAATACAATTAACTGAGTACCCCTCTGACATTCCCCTGGGCACCCGGAGGCTGTACCTGCATATTAACAACATCACCTTCTTGCCAGCGATGAATCTAGGACTCCTCAGTGACCTTGTTTACTTGGACTGTTCGTTTAACCTGATTCAGGAGGTGATGGACTATACCTTCATCGGGGTCTTCAAGCTCATCTACCTTGATCTCAGCTCCAACAATATAAACTCGATCTCCCCATTCAGTTTCTCCATGCTCAACAACCTGGTGCAGCTAAACATCTCCAACAATCCTCAGCTGTTATCTCTGAACAGGTATACCTTTGCCAACACCAGCTCTTTGAGGTACCTGGACCTTAGAAATACCGGCTTGCAGACCTTGGACCATACAGCCTTCACCAACCTCTTAACACTACAGACCCTGTATCTGAGTGGAAACCCCTGGAAATGCAACTGCTCTTTCCTGGACTTCACCATCTACTTAATAGTGTCCCATCTGAACCACCCAGGTGAGGGCTTAAGTGGGAGAGGGGATGAGGATGTGACGGAGTTGGAGGAATTGATCCCAGAAAGGTAAAGCCAAAAGGTGGTCAGGAGGGTAGAAAAGTCTGGGTTAAGCTGATTGAAAGCATTTTTATTGCTGGGTAAGATCCATCCGTGGGTTGACTGGAGAGGCATTCAGGCTCATTGAAAAAGTTCTGGAATAGAAATATACAGAACTGAGTTCTAGTACCCAGCTCACCCCAGACCAGCACACTGCCTTGGGGGAGTCAGTTTCTCTGAGCCTCGGCTTCCTCAACGGTAAAGTGGGGAGTTGTCGTGTCAACATAACATGATTTGTGTGGAAACGGTGAAGTTCTATAATTGTAACTAAGTAATACAGGGAACACAGTAGTCCATGGTAAGCTTTATTTTTATCTTCTTCATTAGGTGACCAAATTTTTCCGAGCTCTAAAAGTAAATGCTATCATTCACAGGCATCATACTCCTTTACGAGTGTGATAAATGGGAGGGAAGACTCTCGTGCGATGGAGGGAGGGGTGTGTGGACAATAAGAGGAGAGGGGAGAAGGGAGAAGACTTTTGATCGGGCCCTGTTTTCAAGATCTAACCTCATATGGGGAAAGGAGAGAGTGACGTGACTCAGTTGAGAGTGGTCAAAATGCCCACTCTACCAGCAGGGAGACTCCGGCTTTACAGACAGATTTTCAAGTTTCATCTCGTTGATTCCTAAATCAGCAGCACACCCTCTATGCCCCGGGGCCACCCTCTGCATGGCCAGCAGGTGCTCAGGTGGCCCCATCCCCTCTTCTGTGACCTCAGGAGCCCATCTTCATCCTCCAATTCTCCCACACCACCCATATCACTTCACCCAGGTAAGTCAGAACCCTGAGAAATGTGACACAGGGCCTCTCTGGTGGCATAGGAGTTAAGTCTCAGCACTATCATTACTACAGCCTGAGTTCGATCTCTGGCCAGGGAGCTGACCCACACAGCACAGCAGACCTCTCCTGTATTGCCCACTGCTCCCCTCAGCAGTGCACTTCAGTAGATCTGCCTGTTCTGCTCCCCACTCTGTCTCTGGTGAATCCTCTCACTCCCTGCACCTCTGGCCTACACCCCAGTTCTTCTACACAAAAAAAAAAAAGAGAAAAAAAAATGTGACCTAACTGCCCACAGAAAGCCTGGGTCAGTGATATAATCTGGCAGAATTGGGCCTCAGATAGAAAACCAAACCCTGTCAAAGTCATGTCTTCTCTCCCGTGCCTGAGTACTTGCTTCTGAGACTGTTTCCGTGGCCTGGCATCACAAATGTCCTGTGAAACTCTGCTGTGACGGCCTGCTCCCAGCCCACAGGATAATACCTGGGGAGATTCCTGGCCACAATTATAGGCTTTCATTAAGGGCAGCTGGGCAAAAGGATTTGCGTGGTGACAGCAAGTAAGATGTGCTCTCCTGGCCTTCCAATGGGCTCATATTTTTTCAGGTATATGCCATTTAATTTTATTCCTTTTTTAATCAGGAAACCTGTATTTTTCTTTTTCCAAAAAAAAAATTTGTTCTTCTTTATTGATTGAGGTAACATGGCTTAAACACCATACATGATTTAGGGGAACAGGTTCACACCTCCCCGGATGCATGTCACCAAAACTCCCCCACCATCAAAGCACGCACAGTCCCTTTGCCTTAGGCCAGGGGTCCCCTGCCCACTTTGTTCCCATCCCTTCTCTCCCTCCCTTCCAGCAGCAATGGGTTTGTCTTAAAGTGGCTTCCAGACAGGATCTGGGCTTTGCTGATGCAAGTGAGGCTCCTGGAATGCAAAATTGAAGGAGGCAGGGAGAGTAAGTGCTCCTTCAATCTGTACCCTGAGTAGCTGTTTCTGCTGCCATGTGCTTCACCTTGAGCCTGAATAAGTCCAAAGGAACCAACTTTATTACACCATTCTTAGTGCTACTAATCATAAAAGAAGACAGGAGCAGTCACCCCAGATAGACTGCCTTACCTGTCAGAGATAATATCTTCTACTTTTCTCAATGGTGCTTACTGTGGTGGTTTCTAGAAAGTTATCTGAAGGAGGGACAATATTATTCACACTTGTGTATTAAATGTGGTTCCTAAATGGGACTCTCTGTGGTGAGGTAAGTAGACGTGGAAGAGCATCATCAGCTACTCTTGCCCCTCCCTACCCTACATGCATGGTTTTTTTCAGCAGAGTCCCCTATGTTGCCAGGAGGACTTCCTCCCTTGGCTCTAGAAGGGGGGAGCAGCTTGACTTCTTCCCCAGTCCCTCAGCCCAACCCTTTACCTACCATCAAATCTCCCTTAATCAAATGTCTGCTTGGAGCCTGTATTCTCTCAGAATTTTCAGGCTGACTACTTTGGATGCCCCTTTTTTTTTTTTTAATTTTTATTTTTAATATTTTTTTATTTTTTACATCATTGTTCATTTTTAAACAATATTTGCTTCCCCACCCCTCAGGTGTAGTCCCCCTAGGGTTTCCTTCACCAGTGCACCTGTGCACCATCACCTCAGTCCCCTGTGCTCCTCCCTTCCTCCCTCTGGATACTTTACCCTCCTCCTCCCCTGCAGGATATATCTGATTTATAATTGTCCATTTTTGCTTTGTTGTGTTTTGTACTCTTATTTTTTTACACTGATGTCTTATTGGGTTCCCCTATATTCCTGCTGTAAGTATAAGTGAAACCATTAGATATTTTTCTTTTTCCTTCTGGCTTATTTCACTAAGCATAATTCCTTCTAGCTCCATCCATGTTGCTGTGAATGGACTTTGGATTCCTTGACCCAATTCAATCCAGAATGGAATGTAGGGTATACACTGGGTATTTTACTGCAAGCTTTCAAAGACGGGAGTATCTATCTAGTCAAGCTCTTTAGTTCCTCATGAATGAAGAGTCTGTCTTTTGAGGAAGACAAAGATTTCATCCACTAACCAGTGAGACATGCCCCCCCATCCACCCACAAGTCATAATCTGCTCGCCCCACTCTGCTGTTTAGAGGCCCAGAGGATTCATGCAGAAAATCATGCAGAAAATCACAGTGGGAATGGGGTGTTTGCTGTGTGCCGGTTGGCAGTGTGCTCTAGCAAGACCCAATCAATACAGACTTAAGACATATCCACAGATTCCATTTCCTCTTTGGTCTAGGTCAGCAAATAAGAGGACTAAACATGACTGGGACAGTAATTTTCCAGTCATTAATGCTATTTGAAGGTGAGCGTGGCAATGAGCTGCTCCAAGGATGGAGGTCCCTAGTGAGACAGGATGTCAGACCTCTCAGGAAACTCAAGAAACTCTAAACCCCTGGACAGAAGTAACCTGGTCTCCTACAGCCCTTTCTCCTCCTCACCTAAATTCTGGTCCAGCACTGTCTGACAAGTTACTACAGTGATGGAAGTGGTCTCTGTCTCTATTGTTTGATATAGCAGCCACATGTGACTACTGAGCTCTTGAAATTTGGCTAGTGCAAATGATTTTCTTTTACTTCAACTCATCTCAAAAGCCACATGAATGGTGAGTGGTTATTGGTCAGAGCAGTGGTCATATTGGTCAGTGCAGCCTTAATATAGGATGCTTAAACTGGAACTTTCAAATAGTCTCCTCACAGGTAATTGGCTAGAGGGTTAAGCCCAGCCTGGAGCTCTCCAGACATCTGAGCCCAATTATTCCTCCACTGTCATTACATTTCCTTACCATCAAGTACACCACCACCTGAAACATCTATTATATGTTCCATATATGCCCAACACTGTATTATGAAGCTGGGGGATAATATCAAGGAGAAAGAGTTATAATTCCTATCTCCAAGAAAGAAGTCATAATTACTCTCTTTAAAAAGACAATTTAGGGATATAGGAGAGAGAAAATAGAGATGAAAACCAGGAAGCCCTGCCCAGCAATGTCACTGTGATTCAAGGCAAGTCATGCGCCTCTGAGTCCCACTTATCTTTAAAATAGGGAGCATGATTAAGTCCCCTCAAAGGTCCCTTGCAGCTGGCAGTCTACAAATCTAAGCAGAATGACAAGACAGTGGAAATGAAGCAAGCAGAGGTCAGTAGCAGAAGGAGCCCAAATATGCAAGTGTGTGATGGGCAAGTGCTGAGGAGGCACTAAGAAGCATGCAGTCTCTAACTTCCGCTCTCCCCCACCTCCAGTCTCAAGCACCTTCTATTTGGGAAAACAATACCTCCACCCCACAAGGAACTCATCCTTGGCCTTTCCTGCCAGGCCTGGCCTGCATAACCAATGATTCCCAAACTCTAATGAGCTCAAGATCCCCAACCCCATGTCCAGAGATTCTGATCCAGTGAAAAGTTGACAGTTGTTCCTTGGGCTATAAATTAAGGAGCCCTGTTACAAAGATCTCCACTGACTGCCCCAACTGGTGAATAAATTGATGTGCTCTGAAAGGTTAGTGGCTAATAATGTTTTGATACATCTCCCTCAAGGGACACAATTTTACAGGGAATAACCAGAAACAATGAGAATTTGGAAAGTGACAGGCTACTGGGGCTAGAAATAAGGGGGTAGTTTCAGGAGAGAGGGTTCCTCTGTTTCCGTTCTTAAATGATAGTTCTCAAGTAGACCTGCTTGAGTTCAATGGTGGGGCCCACAAATTCAAGATGAGTGTGGGCGAGAGCGCCACAGAGGTAGGGTACAAAGCCAGTTATGACATCTGCAGGGAGCAGATGGGTTAGGTCACGTGATGTTTCAGGTCCAAGTCATTTTGAGGGCATTTTGAGCAAAGAACATCTTAGTTTCATTCCAAAACTATTTCATCCTGTATTTAGCCACTGTCATAGGATAATGGCCCCATTTCAACCCACCAAGTACAAAGTCATCCATGACTGTGCCAAAACTTAGATTTCCAGAATGAATTCAGGTCCTCACACTCTTCCACTATTAACACTAACTCATCTCCGCCAACAGGGAAATTGTCATAAAGACCGGAGGCCAAAAAGGAAATGACTAGGCAGCAGAAAGTTCCAAGT